CAGGGGGGAAGTTGGGGGCAACCAGGCTGGCAAGGTGGGGGCAGTTATGGGCGACCAGGCCAGCAGGGGGGGCAGTTAGGGGTGATGAGGCTGACACGCAGAGGCAGTGAGGGGCAACCAGGCAGGCAGACAAGCGATTAGGAGCCATTAGTGGTCCAGGATTGTGAGAGAAAAGTCTGGCAGTCAGACATCCCCCAAGGGGTCCCGGATTGAAGAGGGTGCAGGCTGGGCTGAGGGGACCCCCCCCTCCACGCCATGCATGAATTTCATGCACCGGGCCTCTAGTCTACACTAATAAAAGACAAAGATGCTAATTGACCGTACCTTCACTAAGCCCACCAGCCAATCAGAAGAGTATGCAAATTAACCCAACAAAGATGGCAGTTAATTTGCATACACAAGCACCCAGTGAAGACTGAAGACAGTGCAGAAGGGAGCCAAGCGGCGGAGAAGGGAACGGATCGAAGGTAGCAGAGACGGGAGCAGAGCTGAGGCAGCGGACACGGAGGGAGCAAAGTGGCAGAGAAGGGAGGGAGGCGAAACAGAGGACACGGGAGGGAGCCAAAGCGCCAGGGAAGGGAGGGAGCGGAGGCGGCGGGGAAGGAAGGGAGCCACGGCGGCCGAGACAGAAGGGAGCGAAGCCTGCCTCCGGTTTCGCTCCCTTCTCTACTTCGCTCCGGCCTCAGGAAGCCTTGTTCTTGCACGAATCTTCCTGCAATGGGCCTCTAGTAGTATATAAGAAGCAGTCCCCCCCTTATTCACGATTTCACTTTATTCAGTTTCAGTTACCCATGGTCAACTGCTCTGAAAATATTAAATAGAAAATTCCAGAATTAAACAATTTATAAGTTTTAAACTGCAAACCATTCTGAGTAGCATGATGAATTCTCACATCATCCCACTTGGGATGTGAATCATCACTTTGTCTAGTGTACCCACACTGCATAAAATGGTACCTTCCCATGAGTCACTCAGTAGCCTTCTCAGCTATCAGATCAACTGTTGCAGTATTGTAGTGCTTGTTTTCAAGTAACTCGCCTAACACTACATCACAGTGCCTTCTTCATTCACTTCATCTTATCACATAGATACTATATCATTTCCCATCACACAAGAAGGGTGAGTAGAGTACAATACAGTATTTTGAGAGACGACATTCACATAACTATTACAATATAATTATAACTGCTATATTTTTATAATTATTACTGTTAATCTTTTATGGTGCCTAATTTATAAGTTATTAAACTCTATTATAGGTTTTTATGTATAGGAAAAAACAGTACATATAGGGTACTATCCACGGTTTCAAAGCATCCACTGGGAGTCTTGGAACACATCCCCTTCAGATAAGGGGATTACTGTATTATATATTGGAAAGTTGCTAAGAGAGTAGATCTCAAAAAGTCTCATCACAAGAAAAATAAATTGGTAACTATGTGTAGTGATAGATGTTAACTAGACTTAGTGTGATCATTTCCCAATATATACATATATTGAATCATATGTAAACCTGAAACTAATGTAATGTTATGTCAATTATATCTCAATAAAAAATTTCTTCAGTGAGTTAAATACTATGGTTAGTTATACAAAAGAAGTCTTTTCAGCAGGTATATAGCAATGAATAATTTTTTTCATGTTAAGTAATGTTTTCATGTCAACTAAGATATTTGATTAACAGAATGGTAATGAAAATTATTAAGTTATTCTTACCTGTAATCTAAACCAATCTAATCTCATTCCTCTGAAATCAAACACTTCCCCATCTTCAACTATAATAAAAGAAAAAAGTTTATAGAGCAAATTACTATTTTCACAAATCTATAATCCCATTTCAAATTATAAGAGCTAAGACAATTCCACTTCTGGGTGTACATACAAAATTAAAAGCAGGGTGTTGAAGAGATACATTTGTACATCTATGTTCATAGCAGTATTATTCACAATAGCCAAAAAAGTGAAAGCAATCTTATATCCATCAACAGATAAATGGATAAAAAAATACTGTATGAGTCTGCTTATATGAGGTATCTAGAGCAGTCAAACTCATAGAAGCAGAAAGCATGGTGGATGCCAGGGGCTGGGAGGAGAGGAAATGGGGAGTTGCTATGTAGTAGCTATAGAGTTTCAGTTTTACAAGATGAAAAAGTTCTGGAAATTGGTTGCACAACCATGTGAATATACTTAACACTATCAAACTGTACACTTAAAAATAGTAAGACAGTAAATTTCATGTTATGTATATTTTACCACAATTAAAAAGTAAAAATAATTTAATAGCTAAGTCAGTGAAGTAATTTTCAAATCCTATAAAGATGATGTTAAAGGAAACAGTTATACTAAGAAAATTGTAAAACAGACTCTTCTCCTAAACTCTCTCAGTGTGCTTACATGTCAATTTGTAGGAGCTAGAATAGAGCTCACGGAATCCAGTAAATAGAGACTTTGTATGGCAATTTGGATATGCCAAAGAGAAGCCATAAGTGCATCCTTTCAGTGAAAAGTTGAGTACAGCAATACAAGATATTTTGAGAGGCAAACCACACTCACATAACTTTTATTACAGTATGTTATAATTGTTCTATTTTATTATTAGTTGTTGTTAATCTCTTACTGTGCATATATTTAAATTAAACATCACAGGTATGTATGTATAGAAAAAAAACAGTACAGTTGATCTTTAAACAACATTGGTTTGAACTGCACTGGTCCACTTACGTGAATGTATTTTCTCTTCCTTACAATTTTTTTTTTAATCCTCACCCAAAGATATGTTTTTTTATTGATTTTAGAGAGAGAGGGAAAGAGAGGAAGAGAGAAAGAAACATTAATGTGAGAAACATTAATCGCTTGCCTTCCATATGCACCCCCTTACACACCCCAACTGGGGATGGAACCCACACCTGGCCATGTGCCCGACTGGTAATCAAACCTGCGACTCTTCAGTGCACAGTGGCTCCAACCAACTGAGCCACATGGGCCAGGGCACAATTTTCTTAATAACATTTTCTTTTCTCCAGCTTTCTTTATTTTAAGAATACAGTATAGCCCAGCCAGCGTGGCTCAGTGGTTGAGCATTGACCTATGAACCAGAAGGTCACGGTCAGATTCCCAATCAAGGCACATGCCCAGGTTATGGGCTCGATCCCCAATGTGTGGCATGCAGGAGGCAGCCAATGATTCTCTCTCACCATTGATGTTTCTTTCTCTCCCTCTCCCTTCCTCTCTGAAATCAATAAAAATATATTTTAAAGAAAGAATATATTATACATATAACATACAATATGTTAATCAACTATTTATGTTATTGGTAAGGTGCTGGTCAATAGTAGGCTATCAGTAGTTAAGTTCCTGTGGAGTCAAAAGTTTCGACTGTGCAGGGGGCCAGCTCCCCTAACCTCTGCATTGTTCAAGAGCAAACTATATATATAAGGTTTAGTACGATCCATGGTTTCAGGCATCCACTGGGAGTCTTGGCACATAACCCCTGCAGATAAGGGGGGATGGACTACTGTATGTCCAAAAAAGTAAGTGATTAAATGTTAACGGTCAAATCTTTTCCTTAATAATAAATTTGAAAACCTACTGAGAAGAAAATGTGTTTTTATTTAAAAGATTTATTACCTTGCTTTACACTTAGGGAAGTCATAGTGTTAACAAAAGAAGACATGATGATTGATTCATCTTCAGGGCAAACAGAAAGATTCTGAAAAGAAACCAAAAAAAATAATGTTAAAATCATCTAGTTAGAAAAAAATCCATAGGTTCATCAACAGGTAAGACAGATAAACAAACAGTATATCCACACTATGGAATATTTTTCAGCAATAAACATGGACAAAATGTTGATACATATAATAAAAGGGATGAATCTCAAAAACATTGTGCTAATTGAAAGAAATCAAAAACAGA